TTCTGACGAAGAGTCTAGGCCCGAAACGTCAGCTTTCCTGCTCCTCTGATGCTGCTTGGCCTGCTATGTTCATCCAGCTCTACACCTTGTTATCTCAGATTCTCCAGCATCTGCAGCTCCTACTATCATTGCTAACCATGACTGGTTAGACTAATAGAGGAATTGAGTTCAAGAGCCGTGAAGTTGAAGTTATGCTCCAGCTATACAAAAGCCTGGTTCGGCCACATCTGGAGTATTGTGTCTAGTTCTGGTCACCTCATTACAGGAAAGATGTGGAAGTGTTGGAAAAGGTGCACAGGAGACTCACCAGGATGTGGCCTGGAATGGAGGGAAGGTCTTACGAGGAAAGGTGGAGAGAGCTAGGGCTTTTCTCCTTAGAATGACGAAGGATGAGAGGTGTCTTGAAAGAGGTATACAAAATGATCAAAGGTATAGATAGAGTGGACAGCCAGAGACTTTTTCCTAGGGTGGACGTAGCTATTACGAGGGGGCATAGTTTTAAAGTGAGTGGAGGTAGATGTAGAGAAGACATCAGAGGTAGGTTCTTTACTCAGAGTGGTCGGGGCGTGGAATGCATTGCCAGAGCGGGTAGTGGAGTCGGCCTCATTAGGGGCATTTAAGCGGCTATTAGATAGGCACATGGATGATAGTATAAGGTAGGGGTGGAGGTTAGATAGACCTTAGGATTCGGGTAAAAGTTTGGCACAACATCGTGGGCCGAAGGGCCTGTACTGTGCTGTACTGTTCTATGTTCTATGACTGACTACTGCCTCCAATACAAACTGGAAACAATCATCTACCACATGGCTTCCCAACATTTCACAGCTGCACCGAGTTTACATTTCAGGTTCTATCTGTACTAACTGAAGTCATCATGAATCTCTAAATTTGAAGAGTATTCAGTGTTAGACTTTCTTGTTCAGTGGTAAAGCGCCTGTAGTAAAACATACCAAGAATTATGTTTTCATCATTCGGGTCAAGCGTCAACACAGGCGGTTCCAGAATTTTATCCATGGCTTGATCATCCCAGATGATGTTATCTTCCCATCTTCCATACACCAATTCCTCATTATCAATAGGGAAGATGGAATACCAAGTTTTATCATCCTCTTGGGAAACTAGTAAAGGAAAGCAACAGAACACAAGGAATTTTACCAAACTGACTTTGAGGTCTCATTTCTTAATAATAGGTCATAATAAACTATCTTAATTCTAGTAAAGTGGACCAAAGGGCTTCAGAGAAGCTTTATGAAACATAATTTGACAAGGAGTCACATATGATGATACAGGACAGTTTGTCAAAGATTTGGTCAAAGAGTCAGGTTTTAAGCAGCATCTTAAATGAGGATAGAGAATTGAACAGTTGAACTGTTCATACAATTGTTAGTTTGTGGAATGCAAAATGTAAGAGACCTTCCAGGATAGCACTGGATTAATTTATTCTCAAATTAACAAAGGTTTGGATGATGAGCATAGACGATGGGTTGAAAGGTAGAGATGGTGATCATGATGGAGTTGGAGCAAGAGAACAGAATTTGTGAAGGGGACTGAAGACAATGGTTTTAATCCTCAATGGCAGCATATATCTGCTTATCTGATACCAGAATTCTACCAGCAGTACATGCTAAGGATATATTGGAATGAAACAGCAATTGAATACCAATAATGCACTTAGCAATCACATTAACAGTGTTTAAAGACTTTTTTAACAGAATATTCATATAGCACACAACATTTTTAATGCATAAATGTTTTTGCTAATCTCGATGAAGGAATCTATATTTGTTTAATTTTAACCTACACAGAGATACTTTGTTGCACAATTTTGCCCAGTGAATTTTGTTTTTCTTCACTTTGGTGATGGAAACATTGCTGACAAGATCAACATTTGTTACCCAATTCTACCTACCACAAGAGGCTAGTGATGAACCAATTTTATGACCACTGTAATCTTTGCAATCAAAGTGCTCTCACACTGATGCTTGGTAGGGTTTACAGAATTTTCATCCAGCAACAATCAAGGAATAATTATATACATCCACACAACTGTCCTGGATTTTGCCACATTTCAGTGCTTTTGCAACTAGGTCTCATCCAAGAAAGTTAAAAACATTCCACTCTTGTACCTAACAGGTGTGGAGAAGTTTTGGGAGTCAAAAAGAGGGCCGCTTATCACAAAATATACAGCCAGTTATCAGACATTGCATTTATGAGACTGGTTCAATTGAATTTAATGATGTTGATGTTACTTAGTAATGGCAATGCCAAGTGGGAAACAGTTGGGATTTCTGGTCAGAGTGATCAATGCTAGGCACTTGTGTCGGGCGACTATTACCCGTCATTTACCAGACCACTTTTCAAGTGTTATTCTATTGCCTAATCTCCTTAGCAATTCTAAATGGAGTTAAGCACTGACTGAACATCAACAATAGCCCACTTCTGACCTTATAATGGACAGGCACTGATAAAGTAGCTTAAGATAGTTGAACTAAGCAAAACTACACTGTGGAATTTCTGCAATTTCATTAAAAGTAGATTATACTTTGTCACCTAAAAATGTGAAAATCTTCATAGCACACCCATTCCCAGTCTTTCATTCCTTCATTAATACAAATAAAACATGTGCTATTTGATGTGGCGTCATACCGTGCTGCTCTGGTGCATGTTTATCCTTCCCTTTTGCTGGGATTGGAGGACCAGGCATTGTGGTTTTCTGAACAGGTGTGGGAGGCAAAGGATTCGACAACCAAGAGGTGCCACGGTTTAGCCCTTTACAGAAAAGAGATGAACATGCATAAAATGATTTTGGAAAGAAAACTGTTATCAGAGATGGGGATAGCAACAACAAGAAGATTAACGATTAACCAAGAATAGCTAGCGCATGCAAATTGCAAGCTTTTCTGTTGTGTGTTAGTAACTGACTGGTGAATGTTTACTTTTGGGCTTCTGTCCATTTTATATGCAGAATGTGACAGCTATGAGAAGGGAAGAGAAGCACTTCTTTTGGTCAATCCAACCTGTAAAACTGTGTCTATCTCCTTATAAAGAGCTCTTATCCAGAAGAAAAAGCAGAATAGAGCAAACAATTCATACCTTGTTGTGCATTGTAAGCTGTAGCATTTCGAGTCATGCTAGAAGGCAACCACCCTGCTAGGCTAGCTCGCTGGGATTTTGTAGTCTTATGTTTGACATCCTCTCCATTCCAAATAATGTCTTCTTCCCAGGGCAGCTGAGTGACCATGAGGAAATGCTCATCTAGAAGAGCCTCCATTTCACTCTGCAATTCCTTTTCATCAGCTGACTTCTCAATTTCCTCAGAAGGTTCCTAAAATTATGCACACAGGTATTGACAATTAATGATACCTTTAATAAAGATATCGAACGGGTGCTTTACTACAAGAGCACTGCTACAACAAAATGGGGCATAAAAGAACAAACTAGTTCCACACACAAAGTTATTATAGTGTTCAGATCATCCTAATGAATTACTTTCACACAGCAAAGTACCACTAACAAAGAAGACATAAATGTATTTGTGTTAGCTGAGCAATGCGCATTTGCTGGGCAACCTGAACAACCCTGATCTTCTCTGAACATAGGCGGGTTTCTTCAATGTTCAAAACATAGCACCTCCAGTGTTGCACCGGTACTCAAAACTGCATGTTCAAATCTGGAATATGGCTAAAATTTATAATTGAAATGCTACCACTGAATAAAGGTGACATTATCCAAAAGAAATATTTTTTCTAAATTTCTTCTTTAATGTATACGAATATACAAATCAGCAGAACAGGTACTCAGCCACTCGAGTCTGCTCTGCCATTAAATAAGATCATGGCTGATCTGGTTAATCTACAATTCAACCTATTTCCATAATAGATTCTTGATGAGTAAAAGTGAAACAATCTGTCACTACCTCAAAAAAAATTTAAATGATAACATACAAATTAGCAACTGCATGTATATTTACTGCAAACTTCATCATCTCTGGATTGAGTGGATAGCCAAAGTCTTTTTGTAAGGTGGGAAAGTTAAAAAGAAAAACTAGAGGGCAGAGGTTGAAGGTGAGAGGCGACAAGATTTAAAAAGGACCCGAGAGGAACATTTTCACCCAAAGGATGATGCTTGTATGGAACACGGTGCCAGAGAAAGTGGTGTAGGCGGGTATAAGATGATCAGAGGATTAGATAGGGTGGACAGTGGGAGCCTTTTTCCTCGGATGGTGATGGCTAGCACGAGGGGACATAGCTTTAAATTGAGGGGTGATAGATATAGGACAGATGTCAGAGGTAGGTTCTTTACTCAGAGAGTAGTAAGGGCATGGAATGCCCTACCTGCAAAAGTAGTAGACTCGCCAACGATAAGGGCATTTAAATGGTCATTGGATAAACATATGGATGATAATGGAATAGTTTAGGTTAGATGGGCTTCAGATTAGTTTCACAGGTCAGCGCAACATCGAGGACCGAAGGGCCTGTACTGCGTGTAATGTTCTATGTTCTATATAAGTACAAGATTTAAAAGGCATATGGATGGGTATATGAATAGGAAGGGTTTAGAGATAGTAGGTCAGATTGGGATGTCTGGTCGGTGTGGACAAGTTGGACCAAAGGGTCTGTACCCATGCTTATAACTCTACGATTCTGACACTGAGATTGTTCATTCCAATGGCAGGTTACAAACCTTTCTGTGTAGTGTTATTGTTATTGCAGTTTACATTTTAAACGTTGAATATTACTGAAAAGAGAGGTATATTGTGACAACTTTTAATCTTGCACTCATCAGGACAAATCCAATGTGCCAAATTTCAAACAATCACAAAATTGATACTACAGGAGAAAAGGTTGCTGACTGGGTTGTTAAGTTGACCATAAATGATCAAGGCACTGCCATGATAAAAACAATGGGGACATTTAAGTCTCCAGGTAATAGAAAATAGACAGTGTGATATAAGATGTATGATTCATAATATATATATAGTCATTTATTTTGGAGTTTCAATTTTGAACATGTGGCAGGGATTGTGGTCTGAATGTATGAAAGGTTTACTTAAACTGCCTGGGGCCATGATTTATTTTTAAAAGTATGGGAGGGTGTGTTCCTGGGATAGTAATGGAACCACTGGAAGAGTTTTACCAGCACAGAGTAAACATGGAGAAGTATTAGTTCACTTTCAGTTCATAAGGATCAGAAATTATTTCTTCTTTGTTCAGGAGAAAAATCTATAGCCTGGAAAGCTTTCATTTTCTGTTTGCAACAGTCCTGGTAGAAGTTAAATAGATGAAACAATTTCACCTGAAGAAAGGAGATAGTTTAAAACAGTTAGGAAATAGGTTAAAAACTGAAAGAACTGCAGATGCTGTAAATCAAGAACAAAAAGAGAAGTTGCTGGAAAAGCTCAGCAGGTCTGGCAGCATCTGTGAAGAAAAAAATCAGAGTTAACGTTTCAGATCCGGTAGTTCTGAGGAAGGGTTAACTAGGAAATAGGTTACCTCAGTGTAGACCTTCTAGTGTGAAAGTTCCAAACAAATAAGTGATTATAAACTCAACCTGCATTCAAATTTACGAATGAAATGAAGAAATCAAATGAGCTCCCCTTCGTCAATTTATTAGGTGAGAAGTTGGATAATGGGCGCGTAATTATTATTCACCCAACGTCAATTTTTACCAGTCAATATGCATATTGGGATTCCTAAAATTCCACATGTGAGATCAATCTTTTGGCAACATCGCGAATTGGGCTTAGCCACCTGCCTACCCTGTATGCTTTATGCTGAAATAGGGTATATCAAATCTACCTTCTGTGATACTGGATACCGTGATCAAACCACCACTTGTTATATCTTACAAAAACTCACGAAAGGACATATGTTCACCACCTTAAGGCCATTAAGCAGTGCCCAGTCTACCTCTAAAAGTGGCCTCACGAATGTCCAGTACAGTGCACATGACGTCCCAACACCTATACTCCATGTTCTCACCAAGGAAGGCAAGCATGCCAAACGCCTTCTTCACCACCCTATCTACCTGCGACTCCAATTTAAAAGAACTATGCACCTGCACCCATGGATCTCTCTGTTCGGCAGCACTCCCCACAGCTCATACCTTTTTCAAAAAAGGGGTCATGGAGAGAGCCAAACTTTCCTGCATTTCTATGACAACATTCTGACCAATCAGAATCTATCTGCTAGGTCTGAGAATTAAGATTGATGATTAATTGATTCTTGATTCATCTCAATGCCAATTATGGCCTAACCAATCAGCACGCACTGGGTGTGCAAAATAAAAAGTTTCAACTTATCTTCTTTTAGAAAGGAAAGTATGCTTCTTGAATTTATTGGAATTCTCGGCGTATATACGCATGAATATGGATAAAGGTGACCCAGCAGATGAAGTGAACTTGGATTTCCACAGGCCATTCAATAAGATTCACATGAAAGATTACTGAACAAGATAACAGCTCATGATGTTAGGGATGAAATATCATCACAGATGAAGGATTAGCTAACACAAAACAGAGTGGTGATAGCTGGGTCATTTTTAGGTTGTCAAACTGAAACTAATAAAGCATCACAGGGATCAATGCTGACTCCTCAACTATTTATAACCTATATTAATAACTTGAAATGAAAGGGCTGTGTGTCTTGTCACTGTATTTACTGATGATACAAACTCAAGTGGGAAGACGAGCTTTGAACAGGATTGCAACGGAGGCAGAGAGGTGGGGGGGAATAAAAACAGGCGAATGGACGATAATAATGGGAAACTTGCCCACTTCAGCAAGAATAATAAAACAGCAAAATATTACTTAAAAGCAGAGAGACAATAAAATGCCATGGTAGAGTGATTTTGGTGTTCTCATCCAGGAAGTGCAAAATGTCAGCAAACTGGTACAGCAAATAATTAGGAAGGCAAATGGAATGCTAGCTTTTATAGCAAGGAGAATAGTTTGTATATCAAGTCCAGTTCAATGTGTTTGTTGATGGAGTTCCAGTTGCAATGCCAAGCCTCCAGGAATTCCCTGGCATGTCTCTGTTTGGCTTGTGCTATCATGGATCTGTTGTCCCAATCAAACTCATATCCTTCCTTGTCCGTGTGTATTGAGACCAGTGAGAACTGGTAGTGTCTCTTGGTGGCTAGCTGTTGTTCATATATCCTTATTGTCAGTTTTCTTCCAGTTTGGTCTATGTAATGTTTCTTAAAATCCTTGCAAGGTATTTTGTATATTACATTAGTTTTATTGATTGCGGATATGGGATCCTTTATGGTCGTCAGTAGCTGTCACAGGGTGGTTGATGATTCGTGGACTACTCTGATACTTAGGGATCCGAGCGGTCTCGTGGTCATCTCTGATATGTCTTTGAAGTACGATAGGTGACTAGTGCGTCTGGTTATGTTGTGTCTAGCTGTTGTGGTCTGTTGCGGATGTAATGGTGGATTGTGCTTTTTGGTTATCCATTCCTTTTAAAAACTCTGTTTAAGTGCTCATGTTCTGCTTTGCACAATTCCGGGTTGCTGCAGTGTGTTGCAGTTCATTTGAATCCTGATGCAGCTCCATTTATGTGTGTTGGGGTGGTTGCTGGTGTATTTAAGTATCTGTCTGTATGTGTGGTCTTTGTGTATACGCTAGTCTGGAGTTCCCCGTTGTTCTTGTTTTCCACTATTATGTCTAGGAAGGGTAGTCGGTTATTGTTCTCGTCTTCTTTTGTGAATTTTATTCCAGTGAGGATGTTGTTTGTATCGGGGGGTTTCTTCTAGTCTTGCATGTTGATAATCACGAAGGTGTCATCTACATAGATTGACCAGAACAAAGAAAAACTATCCAAACTCACCCACAACAACGACACGGACAACACAGAAACATGGTTCAAGAACATCTCAAAAGAGCCACAAGACACTGCTGCAATGCTGAATTGTGCAAAGCAAAACAGGAGCACCTATACAGAGTTATTAAAAGGAACGGATACCCAAAAAGCACAATCCATCGTTACCTCCACGACAGACCACAACAGGAAGACACAACACAACCAGACACACTAGTCACCCTATCGTACTTCAGAGACATATCAGAGATGACCACAAGACTACTCAGACCACTAGGTATCAGGGTAGCTCACAAACCATCAACCACCCTGCAAACAGCTACTGATGAATGTAAAGGATCCCATACCCATAACTAATAAAACTAATGTAATATATGTAATAATGTAATATACGCAAGGACTGTGAGAAATCATTCAAATAATTACAGCCCATCATTCAAAATAATTACATAGAAAACCTACATTTAGTTTAAAGGGCAAACAAGGGCAATCAACACATTGTAACTAATGCACAGAAATTTTTCAAATAATTTAGCTTTACTCACCTGGACCTCCACCAGGCAAGTTACTTCTTCCTCTAGCATCTGCTCTTCTTCTCTTGTTGCTTTGAGTTTGAAACCATAATCAAATCCCTCGCCATCCTCTGGCACTCCCAGCATATCATACCAAAGTTGTGCAGGCCCATAGCGCCATTCTGCAACTTTTGGTCTCATGTCCGTTATATTATCAGCATCACCCGTGGATTGAGAGAACTTCGACTCCACAGGAGCCATCATTGTAATCTGATGGTAGTCAGGACAGATAATGGCAAAGTAGCTTATTTTGTATGTAAATAATACATTTCTACCTAAGTATTCATTAATTCTGATGGGGGGCTGCGGTGGTTTCCCACACGCAGGACCTCAATTTATTGTCAAGTTATGCACACCTTGATCCATTTTCCAGCATATTTTATCAGTGGTTGTTTGACCTTGACACCTGTCCTCAGGATTTGGGTAAGGAGGCACGTATCAAGTCCATTTCATCTGATAACACTCAAATTAGGTGAGAAAATTCAGATAATCAGTATTAGATTCTTCAAGCATGCAACTCAACTTTTTCCATCTTTTTCCTTTTAAATCCTCAAGTCTACAGTCGCACCAGGCTGCTCACTAAAGTATCCATAACACCTTAAGATAGGCAAATTAGGCAATTCGAGTCTGCTCCGCCATTCGATCATGGCTAATATGATTCTCAATCCCATTCCCCTGTCTTCTCCCTGTACCCCTTAATCTCCAGACCCAACAAGAACCTATCTATCTTTGTCTTAAAAATACTCAGTGGTTTGGCCTCCACAGCCCTCTGCAACATTCAATTCCACAGCATCACCATCCTCTGGCTGAAGAAATTCCTCCTCATTTCAGTTACTTCATCCTGTTGCTGTGCTCTTGGGTACTGGTCTCTCCTAATAGTGGAAACGACTTCTCCACATCCACTCCATCCAGGCCTCTCAGTATTTTATAAGTTTCAATCAGACTCCTAGCGCATCCCCACCCCATCCTCTAAACACCATCAAGTACAGACCTAGAGTCCTCAACCGCTCCTCATATGATAAAAGCCCTTGATCCCCAGGATCATTCTTGTAAACCTCCTCTAGACCACTTCCAATGCTAGCACAGCTTTTCTTTGGTATGGGACACAAACTTGCTCACAGTATTCCAAATGCAGTCTGAACAGAGCCTTATACAGGACTTAGCAGTATATCTCTACTCTTGTATTCTAGCCCTGAAATGAATACCAACATTTCATGTGCCTTTCTAACCGCCAAATGAATCTTCTTGTTAACCTTAAGGGAATCCTGAACTAGGACTCACAAGACCCTTTGTGCTTCAGATTTCCAAAGCCTTTCCCCATTCAGAAAAAGTACACACTTCTATTCTTCCTATCAAAATATGTAACATCACACTTTGCCACATTGTATTCCCTCTGCTACTTCTTTGCCCAATGTCCTAGCAAGTCCTTCTGCAGCCTTCCCGCTTCCTCAACATTACCTGGCTCTGCACCTATCTTTGTGTCATCTGCAAACTTAGCAACAATGTTCTCAGTTCCTTAGATCTCCAGATCGCTAATGTATAACATGAATAGTTGTGGCCCCAACACTGACACTACAGAACCCCACTAGCCACTGGCTACCATCCTGAAAAAGACCCCTTTATACCTACTGTCTACATTCTGCCACTCAGCCAATACCTTGCCCCTAATACCATCGGCCCTTACTTTATTTAGCAGTCTCCTGTGCAGCACCTCGTTAAAGGCATTCCAGGTCACACCACTGGCTCTCCTTTGTCTAACTTACTTGTTACCTCCTCAAAGAATTCTAACAGATTTCTCAGGCATGACCTCCCTTTATGAAGCCATGCTGACTCTACTCTAGTTTACCGTGCACTTGCAAGTACTCCGCAATCCCATCCTTAATAACAGACTCCAAAATTTCTTTCCTCAGTCTTGTGAATTTAATCGCCATCCATTGCCCCTTTCAACCTGTTTGCTGCTAAAACCCAAACTTGGACTTTGTAAACTCGATATTTTTAATGGTCTTTGGATTAAACTACTAACCTCTATAACTTGGAGGCCACAGAAAATTCTAGTACACCAACCTTGCACCAAGGCCTACTTAAAAGTCGCCCCGGCCAAGAAATCATCCCATTCTCACCGTTATACTGATATGGCTCCCTGATGCCTCTTTTGTAATTACGTTACTTTATACTTACATTATCTGAAATATGTATTTAAGTATTTCAAGCTAGTTAGAAAGTGCAAGAATAATGCAAATGTCATTAGTGGAACTGAAAACAAAAGCTTGCACTGCGCTTTATGATTCATAATATGGTGGCTTTTCCTTTATGCAGGAAAAACATTGCACCCAAGGACCCATAAATTTGTGTCCTTACGTTCTGGAGTCACTGGAAACTACAATTTCATTTTTTTCTTTTCGGTTTTCATTGCATTCTGGGACATTTAGTGGTCTCTCTCACAGAACAGTGAGAAAAAGAACAGAAAAAAAAGTCACTGACTGCACAGCTATTGCAGATTAAGTGCTTGTTGCCATTTTAACCAGCTTGTTGGTTTAAGTGTAGTAGGCTCAACACTATGAAGAAATGGATTCAGACCCTACAGCGGAGAAAATAGTTTGACTGATACATCAATGCAGTGCTGAGTGAATGCCATATCATAGAATCATAGAATCCCTACAGTGTAGAAACAGGCCATTCGACCCAACAAGGCTACACCGACCCTCCGAACAGCATCCCACCCAGACCCATCCCCTTACCCTATCCCTGTAATCCTGCATTTCCCATAGCTAACCCACCTAGCCTGCACATCCCTGAACACTATGAGCAATTTAGCATGACCAATCCACCTAACTTGCACATGTTTGGACTGTGGGAGGAAACCGGAGCACGTGGTGGAAACCCACACATACATGGGGAGAATGTGCAAACTCCACACAGACAGCTGCCTGAGGGTGAAACTGAACCCAGGTACCTGGTGCTGTGAGCCAGCAGTGCTAACCACTGAACCACTATGCTGCCCAATCAAAATAGTACTTGCCCATTCAGATGGCTGCAAGTGTTACTAGGGTATTAGTCAAAGAGGTGCAGGTGAGCTCTCCTGGTAACCTGGCCAACATTATCTCAACCAAGGACACTGAAGCATGTCATATGGTACATTATCTTCCTGTTTTTCTAGCATGCTGGTGACATTTTCCTAAATTACAACACTTCAAAGATATAAATTTATAAATTTCCATTTCTTCATATGTTGTTTAGATTCCAATTGGAGGAGTTGTCAGATCAATAACGCTGTGATAGCCACATAAATCTGAGGCATATCATAAGGAGAGATGGGCTGCATAACATGTTTCTCTCTGCTTCCACCATGGTGTTGTGCGAGATGCTCTGCAAATAAACATCAGCTTAGTTCAGGTTTATACTTGGGAGGTTGATTATATAATACTACAGCCAGTCCCTGGGTTGCGAATAGATTCTATTCTTGTGTCTGTTGATAAGTCGATTTGTATGCAAGTTAGGACACAATGCAGGACAACACAAAATAGCAGTTAAGTACAGGAAACATTCACGTGTTGGATCTTTAAAATTACAATCAAATTTGTAAGTGCGAGCTTTCCAAAATCAGGGACCTTTGTATTTGGGTACAGTCCTTCACACATTTTTCTCCTCCTATACTTGACCCAATACATACCTCATCATCAGAGAGACATTGTTCAGGTGGTGGTGGCGCAGCATAATGATAGTCCCAGCCAGATTTTTGTTCTTTCGTTTCTTCTCCCTCTCCTTCTTGAACAGAAGCCTCAGGTTGTGGATCCCGATGTTTCTTTTTTCTTTTCCTTCTTGCACTTCGCCAAACCGATGGAATGTTCTTTCCAGGTCCAAAGAGACGCAAAAAACGCAATACCTGCAAGATAAGGGAACTAAATTAATTAATTATCTGTTGTGACCTTACTAAACCATCACAACCAGGGCTCCAAAGAATTGGAGATCACATGATACTCTCCAAATATTTGGTAACATGTCAAAGAAACTGCACATATTAAAGCTATGCAACATAATCCATAGTATTCACAATCAACAAACTAAGGGTTTCCAGAAAACTATTAGCTAAAATACTTGACCTACATCATCCAACAATAGGCCTTAGTTGTGACTTAAGGCAGAAAAAAGTACAAAACAAACAGCAGCTGCAAAGCACTGGTCACAGTGATCTGTAAGCTATGATTTACAACGCAGCATTTTGCTTAATAATAATAGCATATTAAAAATGTGATTGTATTTTAGAAGTGCCACTTTTCTATTTAACAGATTATAGCTATTATGTCAATGGATTAAAACTCCAAAAAAATTAAAAGAAGTTTTTTAACTTTTAAGTCCATAATGTGTTGTTTTTAAAAAGGACAGCTACAGACACCTGTGAGTATAAATTCAATGGCTGCCAAAGTCCTGTGTGAAATCGAACTTCAATCAGCCCTCAAGAACATGAATCTCAAAAAGCTGTTCAACTGCCAACATCAACACTAACGATGCAACTTAATATTGCCCACATCATCATCTTATCTGGTTTTCATAAATAATTTAGCAACTGATCACCTAAGATTTTAACTTACATACCTTTTTCTTTTGGGACTCATCTCTTATTTCTAATCTGTGTGTGTTTTTATGTGCTATTAATTCTTCTCACACTAAATAATTGAACACCATATGTTTTGTTAATTCAAGAAAGCCTGATTGAATTGGCTCCTTTTAAAACATTAGTTAACTTGGGTCTGGGAGAACAGTATCCACAAGGACGGATCCTTTTCAAATTAATAGTGTTGCAATCAACTGAGGGAATGGGTGAATAAATAAGGAAAGCCTATTCATCTCTCCTCACCCAGGATTGAGCATTTTGGGTATCCTGCCTGGAACCTCGCATAGAATATGTTGGTAACATAGCAAAAACAGATCTCTCATGGCATTAAGCTATACGTTGTTTGATAAGTAACAAAAAATAATCAGGATCACTGATGGAGATCAAGCAAAACTTCATTTTGATTGACAAGTAGCTTTAGTCATTTGTCGGTTCAAATTATGATTATGCTCATTATTTTCAAAAATTGTATATCTGCAACTGTAACGACCACAGCTTTGTTACCTTTATTTTTGGTCTGTAGATCAAAATTAGAACAATACTAATTTCAATCGAGGAGACTTGTAAGAAAATGGCTGCAGTTTTAAAAATGGTGTTTATTGAAGCTGTTCACAACTTGAAAGGAAATGAAGCTTAACAGGTGCATCAGAAACTATGTCATCGCGGGTTCAAAGAACAATACAGCACTGGAACAGGCCCTTCAGCTCTCCAAGCTTGGGCCAACATATTATGCCCTTCTATACCTAAACTGTCTTACAGGATCCGTACTCCTCCATTCCTTTCCTATTCATGTATTCGTCCAGGTAAATCTTGAATGTTGCTATTGTGTCTGCTTCCACCACCAACTCTGGTAGCGTGTTCCAGGCACTCACCACCCTACGTGAAAAACTTACTCACACATCTCTTTTAAACTCCCCCACACTTTGAACCTGTGCCCTCTTGTAATTTACTCCTCCACCCTGTGAAAAAGCCTCACACTTTCCACTCCATCCATGCCATTCACAGTTTTATAAATTTCTATCAGGTCGCCATTCAACTTCCTGCATTCCAGTGAAACAAAGTCAGCCTATCCACCTTTTCTTCTTCACAGCTAAAATCTCACAATCCGGGCAACATCCTGGTAAATCTTTTTTGTACCCTCTCCAAAGCATCCACATTCTTCTGGTAGTGCGGTGATCAAAACAATATGCAATATTCCAAGTGTGGCCTAACTAAAGTTCTATAAAGCTGCAGTATAACTTGCCTATCCTTACACTCAATGCCCCTTCCAATGAAGGCAAGCATGCTATAGGCACTTTTTACTATCTTATCTATCTGCGCTGCCACCTTCAGTGATCTGTGGACCTGCACACCCAGATCCCTCTGCATATCAATACTCCTAAGGGTCCTGCCTTTAACTGTATAATTTCCACCTGCACTTAACCGTCCAAATTCATCACCTCACATTTGTCCGGATTAAACTCTGTCTACCAGTTTTCTGCCCATGCCTCCAACTGATTTATATCCTGCTGTATCCTCTGACAGTCCTTCTCACTATCCGCAACTCGACAAATCTTTGTATTGTCCACAAACTAACTAATTAGACCAGCCATGTCTTCCTCCAAATCATTTATGTAAACCATGAACAGCAGAGGTTCCTGCACTGATCCCTGTGGAACACTGCTAGTCACAACCCTCCATTCCGAAAAGCACCCTTCCACCGGTACCCTCTGTCTCCTATGACTAAGCCAGTTCTGTATCCATCTTGCCAGTTCACCTTGAAACGATGTGACTTCAACTTTTGTACCAGTCTGCCGTGAGGGACCTTCTCAGAGGCTTTAGTGAAGCCCATGTAGACCAACATCAATCACTTTTCTCTCATCAATCATCTTCATCACCTCAAAAACCTGGATCAAGTTAGTGAGGCACATCCTCCTCTGCAGAAAACCATGCTACCTATCACTAATTAGTCCATGTGCTTCTAAATGCTTACAGATCTTGTCCCTGAGAATCTTTTCCAATAATTTCCCTACCACTGATGTGAGGCTCACAGGCCTGTAACTTCCTGGATTTTTCCAACTACCCTTCTAAATAATGGAACAACACTGGCTAATTTCCAGTCCTCCGAGACCTCACCTGATAAAGATATAATACTCCAGCAATTTGTTCTCTTTCCTCCCTCAATATTCTGGGATAGATCCGATCAGGACCGAGGGACTTATCTAGCTTCATCAAAGCCTGGGCAATTTCCCCAAGTGGCAATGGGTTGGTTAGCTTTTCCATTGGCAAGTTAGTGTGGGTGCAAGAAAGCTCCACTTTATCAGCATTTGAATCAACCTCTAAACAAGTGATGGGATTTTGTGTATGAGCAGTGCAGGCAAAGGAACCTAACCTCTGAAGGGAAAGCATCAAGATATAGCTCTTGCGCTCTCCCTGCTATGCGTGACATGTAACAGCAAAGCCAGCTCCTGCTACCTGTTCTCAATCATTGTTCCTAATAATTGCTGTCTTCATATTCCCCTGTTGAAAAAAGGAGGAAACAAAAGCCTTCAAGGGTATTAAAAGATTCAATTCTCCCCCTGTGACCAGAAGTTTGAACATTAATGCAAACAAACTTGCATCGTCAGCCAAGAAATTAAAAGGGATCAAAGGAAACCGGAAGGCATAAAACAAATCAACTCATCCAATTGCTGTGCTCCAGATTGGCACCACTAAACTTCATTATACTTATCAGAAACAAAAACAAAAATTTCTGGAAAAACCCTGCAGGTCTGGCAGCATCTGTGGAGAGAAACCAGAGTTAATGTTAACTTTGACGTCTCTCCACAGATTTTTGCTCTTTAGAAGGATCACTGGACTCGAAACATTAACTCTGATTTCTCTCCACAGATGCTGCCAGACCGGATGAGTTTTTTCCAGCAATTTCTGGTTTTGTTTCTGATTAAAACATCTGAAGTTCTTTTAGTTTTGCACTATCATGTGTTTTTCCCACCTTTCAAATCCATATCCTTGTCAGTGTCTGTTCATGTATATGTGTGGTCAGTTACAAAGAAGAAGAGTTTAAGTTAGTAATTCACATTTCTTTGCTTTACCGTTAGTTAAAAATAATTTTGTTGTGTAATCAACACTTTTTTCTGGCTACGTGAAAAGGTAAAGGTGAAGTCCCAGAGGGCCATAGGCCTGATCCCTCATTAGAGGGAGACAATGGTGGTGAGTTTAATCTAAGGGTCACCATGCCTCATCAGACAAGGGACAAGACTGAGAAGGTGGGACATTCTTGGTGACCTCAGCCAGTGTGGAAATTGAACCCACACTGCTGACGTCACTATCAGAAACCAGGCAAATGAGCCTACAAAAATCTAGTGCATGATTACTTTCAATCTGAATGAGACAGTCAGGTAGAATTGGGGCATTTGTCATAATCAAACATTTTCACATTTGTGATGACTCTGGGAAAGCAGAGCTTGATTTCCAGCACACACCACTGGGTTGTAAACATGATTTTCAACCATTACATACTTGTTAGCTACATACTTGATTTTATGCTTCAGCTGACTAGATATCTTTTTCAGGGTTCAACTGACCTTCATGCAGCAAATACAGATGCTCTCAAACCTCAAAATAGAGCTAAAAGAACAGTTAGTGCACTCATATACACATCTAAGTATGCCATAACAATCTCAGTGTTAAAATCCCTCTCTTTTTAGCTCCTCCAACAAACTGACAGCTCCTTAGTGATCTCAGACAACATTTTTACAGTGACATTCCCCAATTTAGTTCACTACATGGAGTCCAAACGAACCCAGTTTCTCACCTGTCCTGGTCGAAATTCTGGGAACAGTTCTGTAACATTCGGTAGTTGCTTAGTTGAATCTCGTTGCATAATACCTGCCAGCGGCAATGTGAGCTTGTCTTCCTTCTGAGATTCATTCTGCCTTGATCGTGGAATGTGTCGGTCTGTCTCAGATTCTGAATCAGAGGAACTGCTAAATTCAACCTTCTCTGAGGAGGATGAAGGAGCTATTATGGAAGGTAAAATGATCCCGTCATTCTCATTAGAGACAGAACAAGGGAAAAGGGCATCAGCAGCACGCGATCCTCCAGTAGTACTCAGCACTGCTGTATTTACTCCATTTGCTGAGGGAAGAATAAGCGAATAATAATATTAGTTCCTTTACATCACAATTGTGTAGTTAAAAGTACGCATTGTAATATCACACCAAAATTTGCTCGTTCATGAAAAAATTTCTACCATGCTCAGTGCTCTTGCGGCATGACTATTGTTCAGACCTCCGTTATTTTAATTTTTGCATGGAACAGAGGGTTGTGAGTTGAAGCTGACTTTTGGACTCAGGGCAGTAGCTTGTATTTTTAAAAAAAAGCAAAGAACAAACAAGCTTATATTTGCTCATGGGACCTGACCTGCAAGTTAATTGCAGCTTGATTGTTTAAAAAACGCTGTAGACATTTCGACACTGAAGGTACATAATGGTCAAAGGCTGGCAAATGTTTTGATGTTAGAAGGAGCCATCCCTGGGAGAATGGTGCCAATCAGTCTACCAAAGAGAATGTTGGAATAAACAGAAAGAGAGGCCAAGTTTAAAAAAGAGTTTGAATTGCATTTTTAGACAGAAAGACCGTGGCTATGAAAGCCACTGGAAGGAGTTCTTGGTTGCTCTCCAGTTACCTTCCCATTATCAAGTTATTGAAAGTTTGGAGAATAGAATCCCAGTTATGAGAAATAAGTGAATATTTCTCAGAGCCTACTTGAAGCTGGTTACATTGTCTGATGTCTTCAGAAATCAAGAATGATACAATCCCATGTGATACTACACATCATTAAAACTGCTGAAGTGAACTGGCCCCAGTTATATCTCTTTTGCTTTTCTTCTAATTTATCCCTTAAATGTGTCTGCATGTTTGCGAGCAGGGACAATGCTGAAAGAAGATTAGGTTTAAATTATACAGACATTAATTAGATTACCTTGTATTTAGTTTTGTTCTGCCAAAGTTACAGTATTAGTAATAAATTGTTGATTCTTGTTTGAGCTATAAACCTGGTGTCTGTTATTCTTAAAATCAGTTTAGGAACGACTAGGGCAATTTTAAAGTCAATGAATGTTTTCATTTTACTGTGTTGTGAACACAGGCATAGAAAACCTGATTTGATAATGCTTGCTTTTTGCATGTCGGACAACTATTTTAAATTTATGCTTGTATTGATGAAGGAAGATTTTCCCCGTAATAGGAATTAATAAAAACTAATGAGATTTTCTTCATCTTAACCCGATGATAAACTTGCTTACACAGCTTACAATTCATAATTTGGGCTCTTGTAGTGTCCCTATCTCTGAGCCTGGAAGCTAAGTTCAAGTCCCACCTGCTCAAGGTGCGTAATAACATCTCTGAACAGGTCAGTTACAAAATAACTTCAATTCATTATTACCCAAGAAATACAAAACAGAATCAAGCCATTTGGCACAACCATTGCATACAAATACTCACCTTCCATTGGGGGCTAGTCCTGTGTTGCCTCATCTGTCAGCCTTGCTTTCTGTTGCCTTCTCCCTCAAATTCATAACTAGCTTCTCCTTAAATGTATCAATACTACTCCCTGTTATACTCAGTTCCCCATTCTCATGATTTTTGGGGTAAATAAGTGTTTCTTCTGTGTTGCCTGTTGGATTTGTTGCTGATGAGCTCTTGAACAAAGAAGAACAAAGAACAATACAGCACAGGAACAGGCCCTTCGGCCCTCCAAGCCTGCACCGCCACATTTTGACCTTTCATACTAAAACTGTCTTTATTTACAGGATCTGTATTCCTCTATTGCCTTCCTATTCATGTATTTGTCCAGGTGGTTCTTGAATGCTGCTATTGTGTCTGCTTCAACCACCTCCTCTGGCAACGCACTCACCTCCCTAGTTTTCACCTTCTCTATAAGTGATCACATTCATTCTATATCCACTATATCAAAACATTTTCTTATTCATAAGATTCCTATTAGCTCACCCATTAGCCTACTTTTTATCCCCCAAAGAGAGACGTTCTTTCCTTCTAAATCCTCTCTTTAATCTCTGCAGTGCCTCTATATTTTTTGAGAACAATATGCAGTATTCCAACAGTGATCTAATCAAGGTTCAACAGAGGCTTCGTAAAACTGCCTTCGTCTATTTTCCAAGCCTGCTTTAGAGAACTCTATTTCATACCTCCATATTGGCCCTTATTTAAGTTGAAAACACCAGTTTCAGATGGAGCTGTTCTCCCTGAAACTAAATATGAAATTCTGCCATATTGTGATCACTACTTCTACAGAATCTTCAACCGAAACATCTCTTATTAATCCTATGTTATTACATGACTAGATCCAAAATAGCATATTCCTAGGTAGATTCTGCAATGTGCTGATCTAAGAAACAATTCGAGATGTATTTTATGAATCTGTCTTCCATACTGCCCTTGCCCATCTGATCTGTCCAGTTAACAGGCAGACTAAAATCACCCGTGACAACTTTGTCCTTTTCTTACATGAACAATTGCGATTAGACGCCTTTTACTGATTATATAATTTAAAATAGCGTAATGATCACAATATTGAAGCACCATGGGCTCTGTGCATTGCAGGTAAGATTGCATTGAGGCAAGATTATAGCGACCAAGTATGATAAATTGGTCACAGGATAATACATTCCCACTTATAACTCTGTATGCTGAACCACTCTTGGCGATGGACACTGAAGACCCCAAGTTGAGTACATGCTGTTCTCTTGCCACCCTCAGGGCTTCCTCAAGTGGAGTTCAACATGAAGGAGTACATTTTGGGAAGTTGTGGGGGGGTGTGATGGTGGTGGAGGAGGATGATTCAGTGTGAGGTCTCCTTGCCTATGTTTGACCTGATACCTTGAGATTTCATAGGGTCCACAGTTAGTTTTGGAGACTCCCCGGCCAACTCCCTCCAAAACTGTATACCATTTTCCTGACACCTCTTCTAGATCTGGCCTGCTGGTGCAAAATAACATATACAGAAATGGTGATGGTGTTGACTGTGATATAGTCTATAAAGTACGATTCCATGAGTATGTCAGGCTGTTGTTTGACTAGTCTGTGAGATAGCTCTCCCACATTTGGCACCAGCTCCTAGATCTTGTAAGGAGGACTTTGTAGGGTGACAGGGCTGAGTTTACCATTTGCATTTCTGGTATCTAGGTCGATGTTAGTTGGTCCATCCACTTTCACTTCCTTTTTTGAAAATTTTTAGCAATAACTGAGTGGCTTGCCAGGCCATCTCAGTTGATAGTAGTGAGTCAACCACATTGCTGTGGGCTTGGAGTCACATGTAGGTCAGACAAGGTAACGATGGCAGCTTACCTTCACTCAAGGACATCAGCAAACCAGATGTCTTTTTACAACAATCAACAGTGGTTTCATGTTCATCATTTGACATTTAATTCCAGATTTTTGCTTTTCAAATTGAAATCCCACCATCTGCTGGGGTGAGATTTGAACCCAAGTCTCTGGATTACCAGCAACATTGCCCCCAAGCTACCACCTCTTCTCAGTCCCAGCTGCCAGATGTGAGAGATCCAACACACATTAGTGTGGTAATGCCTCTGCTTTCTCTTGCCTAAGTTATTTTAAGAATCTATTGTTGTAATTCATCTGCCCCAGAGATTTTATCTTAAGTTTGACTTGTTCATTTCACATATTTAATTTCAAATATCGACTATTCTTGATATTTTTAATGATACAAAAGATCTAATCAGAACTTCAGTTCCTGAACATGGAACTGAAGTGAATAACTTAGACTTCATTTACAATTATTTGATCCTGACACATGACCTACCATGGTCTGAAAAATTCCCCAGTACAGGAAAGGCCCAGACATAAAGCTGCTTAATTTGGGAGATACAACTTGCACAAATGTAAAGTAATTCCTCTGTTTTCTCTTCTCAAGGTTTTTAAAAGTGCATAGCTGCAATCCATCAGGACCAAAGGTTTTAACATCTTTTTGAGTTTTGTTCAGTTTATTTAACAAATGTTCTTATTTTATATGTACTTACTTAATTACTCATCATTCAACTTCATGTCTATCTGTTCTACCTTCCTGGTACCTACCAATTTAGTTATTATATATTTCTCCCATAACTTTAATAATATGTATGGCGCTATTCTATGACACCCTTCCTTTTTTTATTTGATCGGTCTGTAAAATATAGATCACTGGAGAATGGCTAATATAACACCCCGTTAAAGGAGGGAGGGAGGACTTCAGGTTTCTGAAATATTAGGACCAGTTCTAGTGCAGGTGGGACGTGTACAAGCTGGATGGATTACATCTTAACAGTATGGAGACTGATATCCTCACAGGGGGATTTGCTAGTGCCGTTGGGGTTGGTTTAAACTGGCTTGTCAGGGGATGGGAATCTGAGGGAGTAACCCAAATGTGAAGAAAATTAAACTGGTAAAAGGAAGTAGAAAAGCTATGAGAGAAATGAGAAGACAGGAGAAATAAAGCTGAGTATCAAGTTTGTCTCAAACGCGGAATGATGTAAAAAAAAACAAAGGGTATTCTACCTGAACGATGAGACATTTACATCATGAAGCATGATTTTGAGTATGAGTAGAGGTAAATGGTTATGATGTAACTGCCATTACAGAAAATGGCTGCATGGTGACCAGCATTAGGATTACCTATTCAAGGATATTTGATATTTAGGAACGACAGACAAGAAAGAAAGAAAATGAAGTTGCTGTAAGATAGCATCAGTACATTGTGAAGCAGAATCTCAGATCAGAAGAGCAACGTGTGGAATCTGTCTGGGTGGAATTAAGAATTGGGAAGGAGCAGCAGACATTGATTTGCACTACTTATAGACCACAAAATAATAGTGCTAGTGTGGGTCCAGGTATAAATCTGAAGTTGAGAGAAGCATGTAGGATCTGCAACACAGTAATCATGGGTGATTTTAATTTTTTTTCCTTCTTTATGCGTGGGATGTAGGCATCGCTTTACCCAACCATTGTTACCCTTGAGAAGGTGGTGATGAGCCGCCTTCTTGATCAAGTGCAGTCCACCAGCTATGGGTTGATCCACAGTGCCATTAGGGAGGGAATTCCAGGATTTTGACCAAGTGACACAGTATTTGCTCAGCCATGATCATACTAACTGGTGAGCAGGTTCAGTTTGCTGAATAGCCTACTCCTGTACCTACGGTTCTTTTCCTGTCTTATTGTCATTTAGGCTTCTCACCTTTCCTGTAGATCCCTCTCCACTTTTCTAGATTCTTAAAGCCTTTGACACTTCCCTGTTTATCTTTTCCACTAAAATGTTGGTCCCAGCCAAGTTTAGCTGAAGATTTCCCAGCGATACAATTCCCTCTTGTCCAAGAAATAATACTAATGTTCCATGAAAAGGATCCCCTCTTTCTCACACAAAAACGTTAGCCACATGGTTATTCTTAAGACTTTTCTGCTATGCCAAATGACTCACATGTATTATACTCCAGAAATTATTACTTTCATGATTGTGTAAATCAATTTAGAGCCCAAGTCCTGATTCTACCTATGTCATTATGTTTAACTTGAAACATGACAACTGCATTTACACCATCCGTTTCCAAGCTCTCTTCCAGCCACAATGGCAGTGAGTACTTCAAGATTCTCATTTTTTGCGCAAAATTTAGCAATTTTTTCCTTTCCCATGAATACAGAATACACCAAAATATTTCGGGTCTGCTCCTCTCTTCATCCACCCCTTCACATACTCCCAGCTAATATTCTGTCTATGATGTCTTGGTCTGAAGTGTTTGAAGTTCCTGTCAACTGGATGAAATTATGGTGCCTAACTGAATTGTTATATCAGTACAGCCCAGCACTACTACAATTACTGGCCCATAATCTGATTCCATTTGAACAAGTCAAAAACCAACGTACGAGTATTCAACAAACTGTTCTTTCTCATTTTAATTAACAGACAATTCTTTTGAACTCACCAATTATTTCCTGTGAATTTGACTCCTCCTTATTCAGCGGAGGCGGTGGTGGAGGGGGAGGCATGAGCTTTGAGTCCACATCTTCACTGTCTGCATCATAGTCATCATCATCATCATCATTGCCTTCTGAAGTCAGCATGACAGGTTAAAAGGTTATTACAACTTTTAAATTAAACCACATAGGCAATTTCCCATTAATATCAGCATTTTAAACAATTTTAGAAATGTAATTTCTATGACAACATTGGCTATTCTCCTACAATACCGAAGTCCAAGTGTGAGATTTATTTCCGAGGGCATGGCAATAATTAGGGAAAATCAGAATGAAGCTGAAAAATCAAAATGTTTGAAATATTAGATATCACATACACCTGTATTCCTACCTAAACTCACTAGGTAATTTTCCTTACACCAGCCCTTTCTCTCATACCTGAAACCTTAACACAAACAATTGATCCTAGTTTTTGCACATTAAATCTATTACTTATCACAGATCTGTTGTAATAGAGGCATGTTTTCAGTCTTTACCTTTCTACTTCATTGCCAAACAGTAAAAAGACAGGTTTCACTACTCAGTGTATTAGTACAGTTAGCTAGTTAATGTATTTAGAATAATCTGTTTACCCAGTTTTCTTAGTGGCTGAAGATTTCCCATCACCTGACGATACCTGCGGGTCTCGTCCTCTGCTACCTCATTGATATCGGAGTAATCAATGGCGTCATCTTTACTCTGAATCCAACCTATGTGCATAAGAACAATCATCAATCATATCAGCTAAATGTGCTGCCTTGGGCCAAGGAATAACATAGAGTAGCTCTGGACTTCCTTGCAAATCTTCAGGAGAATGGTGTGTTAGTTTTGCATTTGCATTCAACCTAAGTATTTCACAGAAAAGTTTCACATCTGTCACAGGGAAAATGTTAGAAGCTATTATTAAAAACGTTGTTAGAGAGGACTTGGACTAGGTCATGCTAATCAGGTAAAGCAAACATGGTTTTGTCAAAAGGACATCATGTTTGACTAATTTATTGGAGTTCTTTGAAGATCTAACTTGTGCTATGAATAAAAGGGAACCAAAGGATGTATCATACACAGATTTCCAGAAGTCATTTGATAAAGTGTTATTTGATAAAAGGTAGTTGTGGGAAATAAATCCTTATGGTTTTGAGGATAACATACTGGCATGGGTAGAAGATTGGCTGGCTAAAAGAAAGGACAGTAGGAATAAATGGGTCTTTTTCAGACTGGCAGATGTCAGTGGTGCACCACAGGGTTTGTTGCTGGGGCCTCAACTATTTACAATTTATATAAATGATGTGGATGAAGAGATGCGCTAAATTTGCTGGCGATACAAATTTAGGTTGGAAACTGATTTGTGAAGAGAACGTAAGAAGCCTAAAAGGGGTATATTTAGGTTAGGTGAATGAACAAAGATCTAGCAGATGAAGCACAACGTAGCAAAGTGTGGAATTGTCCATTTTGGCAGAAAGAATAGAAAAACATTATCTAAATGGTGAGAGGTTACAGAGCTCTGAGATGCAGTGAAATCTGGGTGCCCCAAAGAATGAATTACAGGTACACCAAGTAATCAGAAAAACTAAAAGAATGTTGTGTTTTGTTGTGAAGGGAATTGATGTGCAAGAGTAGAGAGGTTACACTTCAGTTATAGAGCATTGGTGAGACCACATCTGGAGTACTGTTTGCAATATTGGTCAACATAATGACAGAAGGATGTTAACGCATTGAAAGCAGTTCAGGGAAGGTTTACTAGACTAAAATCTCAAGAGGAAAGGCTTGACAGGGTAGGTCTGTAACCCCTGCAGTTCAGAAACATCGGGGTGACTTAAAAGAAACACAAGATCTTAGGGGACTTGATCAGGTGGATACTGAAAGGATGTCTCCCCTTTTGGGAGAAACTAAAACTAGGGGACACTGGTTAAAAGTAAAATGGTAGCCCATTAAAGAGAGAGATGTGGAAACATTTTTTCTCTCAGATTAAACACATTAAATATTTCTCTCAGATTTATGAGATTCTTTGGAATTCTCATCCTCAAACGGGAGCGGATGCAGAATCTTTAAATATTTTTAAGACAGATTCTTGATTACCAAAGGGATGAAAGATTAGTAGGGATATACAGGAATGTAGAGTTAAGGTTAAAATCAGATCAGCCTTAATCTTAATGAATGGCGAAGCAGGCTTGAAGAGCCAAATGACTTATTCTTGATCCTTGTTCATAAACTTGTAAGAAAAATGGAGGCCAAATCAAAGGAAGAGAGATCAGGAGGGAAGACCACAAGAGGTAGTTTTAAGAACAATATTAAAAACAATACAGAGAATTAGATGCACAGATATTACCAACTTGAAAGGGATCTGTGGGGGATGGATCAGGCCAGAATCAAAAGAAACAGCAATCAACTAGGACAGTATTATAATTGAATCAGCAGATTTCAAAGGGGTACCTTCAATTTCAGCAGCAAATAAGCTGATGGAGAGTAACTGGACTATGTAAGGGTGAGATTATAGCTGGAGGAGGAAAGGTCATTAAATATTTATAATTATTAAATGATGTACAGGAATTTAACTCCAAGTAAATGAATAGTCACTGAATATATCTCTGGTGTATAAAAAGAGGTGACAAGACTGGCAGGTTTAAAAAGGAGATCCACAATGCAAAGGTACGATATCTGAAGATTAGTCCATCTGTGGTGGAGCCCTAGAGCTGCAAGTATGAAGAGAACAAACTAGAATGCAAGGCTGAAAATTCTTTCAACAGAAGAGAAAAGCAAATTCCTAGTGAAAATGAGGATGAAGGTTGTCAAGTTGACACAAGCTGGACAGGCTATGAACTGCAGAATTCTGAAATTTATGTAGGGCACACCAAAAGGCCCACAAGGAGTGCAATATTCAAAATATATTCCAGTAATCTCCATGGTGTTCGGCACATGCAGGGAATGAGGAATGAGGGTTACATGGATCTTAGAATCCCTACAGTGCGGAAAGAGGCCATTCAGGTCCATCCAGTCTGCACTGACCCCCATGCTATCCCTGTAATTCCACATTTAGCATGGCATATCCAGCTAAACTACGCATCTTTGACTGCCAGTTGTAGGAGAAATACTAGTGATGGCTGAGAGAACATGACTCATTGCTGCCAGAAGATGAACATGAGTTTTAAAAACAAGCAGTCAGGAACAGTCATGAATACTGTCAGTGAGATTTTGATCAAAAGGAGAGAGAGAGAGTATGAGCGAGGGAAAAAGAGAAACATGACCAAATAATTAGTTCCTAGCGTGAGAAAACTTGCTTCGGTCCTGATAAATCAATCACTCTGCCTTGGTAAAGTTTCAGGAGGTGATAATCCTGATTTTCCCTTTTGAATCCCAGACTGTTATACTATGGAAAAACATTTGTGTGAAATCTGAACAACTTTCTGATTGCCAGTTGCATCAGAATTCCTAATGTTTGGATACTGGATAAATATGACTTTACTGTATATCTTTTGAAGTTATTTTATGGAAAGTCATTGCTTACCCTCTGCATTGCTGCTCCTTTCATCAGACTCCACTGCATCATCGTCATTGGCTGTGATTTCTTTGATGAGAGTCCCAAGACCCAGCGTCCCCAAACCATCCAGATGCTTTTTTGACTCCTGTGTAAAGACAGTGAACACATTACAACTCACTAAATGTGGCATGGATTAGTCAGAAATTAACAAGTCACAGCAATGAAATGACACAATTTTTCTGATCTAATAGATGAGTCAGTGAAAATAATGTCACATGGAGAGGAGTGATTACACTGAAACTGCAAATAAATTTGGAAAACATTTTATCTTGTTCTCTCCCTCTCAATTATATATTCACTTCTTTATTGTAAAGTGAAGTGTGCTTTCAATATTGGTCCCAATAAACACTGAAAAATTGTATGGTGTTCAAGGCCAGTCAAGGATGTGTTTCTGCTTGGAGATAGGATTGATCTGCTTTGAACTTTTCATTGTCAAAATAGTGTTCCATTATCACAGAGTTCTATCTAGTAATCCAGTTGCTTATACTTCTACAGAGTTTTTCAGGTAGAGAAAGGCTCTAAATGAAGAATGAAATGGACGCTAACAATTGACCAGAATGTGGACTAGCCATATAACTACGATGGCTACAAGAATTTGTCAGAGGTTAGGAATTCTGTGGCAATCAACTCATCTCCTGAGTCTCCAAACCAATTCCACAAACTACAAGTCAGCTGTGTGGCAGAATACTGTCCACTTGCTATGATGATTGCTGCTGCAACTACACTCAAGAAGCACTACACCATCCAGGACAAAGCAGCCCTCCAGATCACCATCCTATCCACTATATTCAAATATCCCCCCTTCCAACCCAATGGATGCACAGTTGGCACCATTGTCTATAATTTATAAGATGCACTGCAACAACTTGCCAAGCTTTCTTTCACAGCACCTGCCAAATCCATCTACCACCTAGAAAGACAGCACACATAAGGGAACACTATCATTTTCAAGCTCCCTGCCCAACCCACATACAACCCTGAACAGTTAAACTGCATTGTAAAGTATTAGCCGTTACTGGAACTACTTGTATTGCAGGTAACACTGTGGGTAAAATCACTCCACATGGACTGCAGTCATTCAAGAAGGCAGCTCACCACCACCTTCTCTAGCGCAGTTAGGGATGGGCAACAAATGGTGGCCTGGCCAGTGGCACAGACACACTTGGATTTTGCTTCAAATGCAGAGGACACAGAGGATCTGAAAGAAAATCCAAACTTTTAAAATCATTTCACTGGGGCATAAACAACTCATGAAGTTTAACAAAAGACAGAGTAACAGAAGTGTTGGGTAAAGTCTTCTGAATGACAATGTGTGAAATACCACTTAATTGGTTAAACTACTAGAGAGGAGCTCACTCCCAGACACAGAGTTATGTAAAATGGGTGTATGTCAGTGACAACTCAAAATAACCCAGCAGTCCTATATTGCTGTGGTGAACGGGTTTTGACAACTGCAGTGTTACTCCAAAGTGATTAAATAAAATTTGAAGCAGTAGGTTTCTATGAGGAGATTTGTAGAAGAGAATTATACTATGCAGACTGTAAAAAATGTGTTACATTAAGGCTGAGATAAACTATACATTGAAAGCAGCTCTGGCAATTTCTTTTTGCAAATCAGGATTCTGTAATTTTTTTGAATAGAACTTACATCTCTGAAAAAACTTTTTAAGCTGTTACACAATGAAAACTAAGCCATTGGACATTAATTGCTTGCAACTTACACAATAGTTTATACAATGCTCTTTCAGTTTGAGGATGTAATGATGAAAACAATAGCTTGGACATCCACAGTGAAATTATCTGCCTGTTAAGAAAATTAATTTTGTTCTTTAAGTACACACATAGCAACAGAGTCGCGCACTTCCTATGCTGTTACAATGCTAACGAAAATACACATTACCTTGTCAAGGACACTATCATCCTCCAACTGTCCATCCTCATTGATGTTCCCAAACAGAAAGCCAGTGAGAGAGAATGGTTGCTCATGATCCTCATCACTGTCCGAGTCAGACATCTTCAGACACTACCAATCCACTTTCTAAAAATAAGAGCAAAAGTAAGTCCCCTGTCAGGGGATTTAAATGATCCCATTGATTCATGTTCAGTTTCAATTAATAGTTCTGCAATGCAAAATATTTTTCGTCTGTCTGTTAGGGAAGGAAATCTGTTATCTTTACCTGGTCTGGCCTGCTTGTATCTCCAGACCAATAGCAATGCAGTTAACTCTTAACTGCCCTCTGAAATGGCTGAGAGATACAATCAGCTCAAGGGCAACAAATGTCAGGTTTGACAGAAAATGTTCACATCTCATACAAAAATTTTAGAAGTCTCAATAATTGCTGTTGTTTCCTTGAATATCAGAATTGGTGGAGCGGTAGACCAAATTGATCAATTTCATGGAACGATAGGATGGTGAAAACTGCCAGATTGGAGAAAGAAAGGTTGTGCGGGTGAAATATGAACTAATTTTGAAGAATTCAAGATTCACCTACCACTCTCTTTCACGCACTGCTTCCGCGAGATCTGTTATAGCAACTACCACAACCAATCTGTTCTGCAGAAATCTGAGGCTATCTCCATTTACCTCAAAAGATATGGCAGATTTCTAAACTGTGTTGAAAACGCTCCAACTTGAGATGGATGGACAATTTGAAGTGATAGAAATTCAACCAAAATGCAAATGTCCACATGGTCAAAAACAAGGTGGAGATATTACCAACATGTAGAAGAATGCCTCCCAGACTGTGCAGCATTATACAAACTCTAGAAAACATTAATACAAAAAGTAATTCTTTTGAACAAGAAAATAACTCAATCTCATAGGACGCCCTATATTTAACCACTTCACTGTCTCCTGAAGCATATAAACTTCTAGACATGTCAAAATAAAACAAACCCATTTCTCTTAGAAGTTCAGATCTAAGGGAGGACACTCAGAGAGCTTCATGGAGCAAACATTTGAGAAATTATGATAATAAAAGTCAACTCATTATTTCAGAAATGCTACATCTGCCCAATAATGGAGGAAATCAAAATTCCACACCTATAAGATTCACCCATTTTGATCTCATTAATTTCAGATCCTCGAACTTTGGAAGCAATAGAAAATGGGAATTCCTATGGAGTACCAGTCCTATAGGTCAACAAAACATCCAAAATTTGATCTATTAATTGATGAACACAAAGTTATGTTTTATTTAGGTGAAGTGCAGGCTCACCCTGCCAAAGTTAACTCTATTTGGCCTTTGACAAAAAGCTCAGCCGATAGATTTCTATACACTATTGCAAAATTAATTTCAAACCTGAGCAACTGCTGTTTTTTCAGTCCAGGTTGAGCTCCTCATGTATCGTCTCTTCCAGCTCCTCTTCCATCCAGATCCCAAAGAAAATCAATTCAAATAATGTTCCTATTTAGTTCAGAACACAAGTTCTCTCAATAAATGGGATTTCTTTACTAGGCCCGGCTCTGGTTACATGAACAAAGCCCACTTCTATTCCAGGATCATTCTCAGGCTCTGACAAAATCATTGTTCAACTCTCATTAAATCTTTACAACAGTGTCAAGATTTTGTCTTGCAATTGGAGTCTCAGGATTTAATGAGGTCGGCTCTGCAGTTTCTACCTTTTATAAATTATTTAAAAAGTGAACGTTAATTATAATGCGTGCGACTAAAAAATGTAGATTTAGTCATTAAAAGCACTAAACAATGTCTAACAATTTAAAAGATAGCACGACAGATGTCAATGGGAATTCAACATAAATGTAATTTTTTGATTTGGTTAAAGAATCAAGAATGCAGCATATCTATAGCAATAATAACTGTAATTTTTGTGAATCCAAACTGCTTTGTTCTGTCAGGCATAACTGCAGTTTTATTTGGTAGGCTATGTGGGGCACACAAAGACACGGATTGATGTGGGGAAGATTAGACCGGGTGGCAAATATGTAACCACCAGCAGGTGATGTGTCACTGACTACATTAAAAGATGGAGGGAGGGAGTGAGAGAGACAGAGAAAGAGGTGTTGTAGATTCTCCCAGATAGATATGAAAAATAGTTCTTATTCGTTAATAGCTGAGGGAAATTAGCAAGAAGTACCAAGTTTCACCTTGCCGCCTCTAGTGAAGGCAATGGACAGTAGCTGGGAAATAAGTATATGCAAGAGTTACCAAGAATCACCTCAGCAATGAGTGCCTTTTCAGTTGGCAGCTAAAACAGCAGCGAAAGCAGCCTGGAAGTACATGCTGTCTCCCTCTCAGCCCTCTGCATTAAGGAGTAATTTGGGATCTTGTTCTACTTTGTAACCGCTGCTTAATACTTAGGTCAAACATAATTGATCCTATTGAATATTAACTGCATAGTTTGAAGTGGTGCTTGGGGTCAGAGTAAAGATGGAAATGTGGCAGAAAGGAGATGACATGAGAGAGTTCCATGGGAAAACTGAAATGGCGTGGGATGAGGATGACACAGGAAGGGATGTGACGTAGGATGATATAGAAGGGAGAACGATATGGGAAGGTGGGGATGAGAGGCATGATCCTGAAAGGAGAGACCGAGATGGCACAGGAGGTAGAGGTGGCATGAGAGAGATGAACGAGATAATAGAATTGGTTAATGATGACAGAATCAGGAGGTCAATTATTTGAATCAATTTATCAAAAGTTACTCTTCAAGCTAAAAATGAAGATTTACTAGATTTGAATGAAAATGTTTTTGAAAAGCTGTCAAGTGAATTAAAAAATGTTAACATTGATTCAATAAAAGACGATCATAATAATCTACACTACCCAGAGTTTCTACACAATCTAACTCCAATGGGAATCTTTCTTCATTACTAGCCACTCCCATAAATGCCTCCAAATTCAATAAACACAACTGCAATGAGTTCCTAAATTTGTGTCACTCTGATTATTCCCTCACCCGTACCATCCCTTATCTTTGTTCTCTGAGCTTTGTCTTAGTGGATTCACTTCATGCTATAGTTTATCATCTGCAACCTCTGAATTAGTCTGTTAACTCCCCACTATCAACAACCTGGAATTTATCATTGACCAGAAACTGAATTGTCTAGCTATATAATTACTGTGGCCACAATAGTCGGTCAGAGGCTATGAATCCTACAACAAGCAATTCACTTTCTGATTTCATAAAGCCTGTCCACTATCAACAATTCAGAAGTGAGATGAAATACTCCCACTTGCCTGGGTGAGTGAGTTCCAATTTCATTTAAGACACTTGACAGCATCAGAACAAAGTACCCGGTTTGACTGGCACCATATCCATAAACGTTCATTCTGTCTACCTCTGGCATTCAGCAGCAGTGTCCCATCTACCGGACGCACAACAAAAATTCACCAAAGCTCTTTCAAACACCTTTCAAACCCATGACCACTACCATGAAGGACAAAAGCAGCAAATACCATCGCTCGCAACTTCCATTCTAAGCCACTCAACAAGTCATTCTGACCTGGAAATATTTTGCTGATCCTTCAGTGTCGCTGGGTGAAAATCCTGAACTCTCTACTAACATTGTGAGTCAACCTCTACCAAATGGATTCGAGTAGTTCATGAAGACAGTTCACCGACACCTTCTTAATGACAACTAGGACTGGTGAGTAAACACTGACCAGCCAGCAATGCCCAAATCCCATGACTGAACTGAAAAAAAACATTATTTCCCTCACTTTATTTCCAAGTTACAAGGCCTACCTCCTTTTCTCTTGACTCTATTCTCAATATGCTCTCGACCAGCCAAATTCTCTTAGAGCTCGTGTTAGCTAATACCATGATTAGTTACCTTGCATGGATACAGTTTGCCCAAACTTTTAAATGCACCATCTCCCCGAATTTTATAAACTCACCCTTCACTCCTCTGTATTTGCAAACCTTTACCCCATCCCCAACCTATTTTTCTTAAAATCTCTGAACATGTTGTCACCTTCTAATGCACTGCCATCCTTCTCACAACTCTACACCAGGTTTCTGGCATCTTCCTATAACATTCACAAATGCTACTGTTCCATAGCTGTGGCCATAGTGTATTGTCATTGTTTTAAACCTGTCTTACACACAAAACTACAACATCCTCCAACACCTTACCTCCACTGCCCAGGTGAGTAGGTCTGTCTTTCTCTAATTCCATTCTTACCTACAGAGTTGCAGTCAAAGAATGATCTCCAGCATAAGGTCCAATGCAAAACACTGGATTAAATTATTTGCCATTTCTCTGTTCCTCGTTATTAATTCCGCAACTGCGTCCTCCAAGAGCCCCATACTCACTTTAACAACTCTTCATTGGAACGTATCCATCTTCTTTTCAGTTATTGCTGTTATTTGTGCAACTCTGCTGACCCCAATCTAGGCCATAGGTATCAGAAAGCCCATCAGAAACCCCATGCCCATTCCCCTCTTTTAAGATACTCGTTCAAACCTCGCTCTTCAATCAAACTTTGACCACCTATTCCAATATTTCCTCTTTTGCCTCAATGCCTATATTCTAATGTCAATCATCTAATTACAGTAAGAAGTGCTTTGAAATGATTTAATGTACTAAAAGTGTTAAATAAATACAAGTTGCCATTGTACTTATCAATCACTGCCCCAAACCTCTGATCCAAATCTTGTAAGCAAAATCGTTCAACAAAAATAATGAAAGCTTCAAAAGAGATTCCATTGAATAGGAATATTTGAAAAGCAGTAGCCTGCCTGTCCAAAGAGATGGAAATATCTTGAGATGGAGCACACGAATATGGAAACTCCACAAGACATTCTGTCCTCGGACTGACAGGTGATAATGGGGAGTAACAAATCTACTTGGAATAAATAAGGCCAGGTTTGTAAATAGTGAAATATGAGATTCTGCCAAATGCAGTAAAGCTTAATGGCCCTGATCCAACTACAAACACCGTCCAACAAGCTCCAAATAAGCAACTGACGTTTCTACTGGAATATTAACCTTCCTTTTGGAGTTTTTTTCATCAAACTAAAACCTGGCCTATTCCTCGCACCATCACCTGTTCCACCGACTCAACTCTCCGGCCTCCTTCAGATCTTAGGACCAGCTGAATCCAGCCTTTCTTGTGACGAAGACAAGCTGTCAGTCAGCCCACATCACAACAACTATTCCCACGATATCCTTCCACTCCACCCGCCGCCCATCTACAAACCCCCGCACACACTTACCGAACGTCCGCCGCTGCTTTTCCAACACGATAGACAAATCCGTCAAACCTCCAGGAACAGCGCCACCACCAGCCCGGGAGGAACCACAGCGACCCCATCTGACCAGAACGATAACGGTAACACTCACTGTCCCGGAGAACCACAAAAACGAAGTTTAAAGCCAAACTGTGGCTCGTGTACCGCAGTAGCAGTGTTCCCAGAGGGATCCAGTGTCATCATCCACTGTCGTATTTATTTCAAAGGAAATGGTGTATAAAAGTAGCGAGTTGGAGACGATAAGGACTGCAGATGCTGGAAGCCAGAGTTTATAGGTGTGAGGCTGGAAAGGGTCAAAAATCACAGGACACCAGTTATAGTCCAACGGTTTTATTTGAACACACTGGCTTTTGAAGCGTTGCTCCTTCCTCAGGTGTGGTGAGAGAAGAAACACAGGATTTATATGTAAAAGATCAAAGGAATATACAACTGATCTGAACATATTGAATAAACGTCCAATGGCTAGCTGACTGCCTCCTGTCAAATCTTTAATCAGTTAGAAAGGAGATGCTGGTTTTGATTGATTAAAGTGCAAATACCAGAATTTCTTTCAACTCACTGCCCTGAGATAACTAAAAGTTTTATCAGTGTGTACAAGAGGTGACACCTCAGGTCAGGTAATGCATTTTAGGTGTGGGGCTTTGAGTAAATTTGTGTTTTAACCTGGAGTCAGACTGGTTTTATTTCCAGAGCAGGAATTTATAAAATGGCCCATTGACTCTGTCTGCAAATTGTGTGCTTTCTGAACAAAATATGTGTACACACGCGCGAGTGGGAGAGACTGTGTGCGCGCGCGCGCGTGCGTGAGCGAGAGAAAAATTGAGAGAGAGATTGTGAGATTGTGCGTGTGCGTGAGAGAGAGAGATTGTATGAGAGAGAGAAAGACTGTGTGTGTGTGAGTGAGAGATCATGTGCGGGTGTGTGTGTGGGAGAGAGAGAGTGTGTGTGTGAGAGAATGTTTGTGAGAAACAGTGTGTGTCTGAGAGAGTGTGTGTGAGAAAGAGTGTGAGAGAGAGTATGTTTGTGAGAAACAGTGTGTGTGAGAGAAAGATTGTGTGTATGCGTGTGTGAGAGAGAAAGATTGTGTGTGTGAATGTGTGAGAGATCGTGTGTGTGTGTTTGAGAGAGAGAGAGAGAGATTGTGAGAGAGTGTGTGTGTGTGTGTGAGAGAGTGTGTTTGTGAGAGAGAGAGACGGAGTGTGTGTGTGCGTGTGAGAGAGGGAGAAAGTAAGTGTGTGCCTGTGAGAGAGAGAGAGAGAGAGAGAATGTATCCGTGTGTGTGTGCTTGAGAGAATGAGTGTGAGGGAGTACATTTGTGTGAGAAAGTGTTTGTGTGTGTGAGTGTGTGTATGTATGTATGCTTGTGTGAGATTGTATAGTGTGTTGAAGTTGTCCTCAATAATACCGAACTTGGCTAACAGCCTCTACTCAGCAACTCTGCGTTGTTGTGAGGTTGCCATGGCAGGGTTGTGTGGTATTGTGGTCGATGTTGCCCTGAAGGCTGGGTAGTTTGCTGCAAACAGTGGTCTGTTTAATGTTTGGTTGTCATTTGAAAGCGAGAAGTGGAGGCGTGGGGAAGATTTTGGTGAGGTGTTCATCGCCATCAATAATGTGATGAAGGCTGTGAAGAACATGGAGTGGTTTCCCTGCTTCAGGGAAGTACTGGACGACAAAGGGTACCCTATCAGTCGTATCCCGTGTCTGCCTTCTGAGGAGGTCATTACAGTTTTTCACTGTGGCCCATCGGAACTGGTGATCAATGAGTTGAGCATTATATTCAGTTCTTATGAGGGCATCCTTCAACACCTTCAGATGTCCGTCTCATTCCTCCTCATCTGAGCAGATTTTGTGTATGTGTAGGGGATGGGTTTCTTAATATGTTTAGGGTGGAAGCTAGAGAAGTGCAGCATCATGAGCTTATCCGTAGGCTTGTGGTAGAGTGAGGTATTAAGGTGTCTGTCCTGACGAAGGGTTTCAGCCCAAAACATTGACTTACCTGCTGCTTGGATGCTGTCTGAACTGCTGTGCCTTTCCAGCCTCACACCTGTAGGCTATAAAAGTAGCAAGGTTTTGCTAAAACTATATGACATTCTAGTCAGACAACAGCTGTGAACAGTTTTGGATACCTTTTCTAAGGAAAGATAGACTGTGTTTGAGACAATCTACAGAAGGTTCGGAGAAGAGGTTGAGTAGATTGGTTATCTACTCATTGGAATATAGAAGAATGAAAGGCGATCTTATTGAAACATATATAGCGTCAGACAGCATGGAAACAGACCCTTTGGTCCAACCAGTCTGTGCCGACCATAAACCCAAACCAATCTAGTCCCACCTGCCTGCGCTTGGTACTTATTAATGTACTTATCCAAATGTCTTTTAAACGTTGTAACCGTACCCGTATCCACCACTTCCTCTGGAAATTCATTCCACACACGAACCACTCGCTGTGTAAAAGAATTGCCCCTCATGTCTTTTTTAAATCTCTCTCCTCACACCTAAAATTATATCCCCTAATCTTGAAATCACCCACCCGAGGGAAAGGACACTACCATTCACTTTATCCATGCCCCTCATTATTTTATAAACATCTATAAGGTCACCGCTTAACCTCCTATGATCTAGTGATAAAAGTCCCAGCCTACTTAGCCTTTCCTTATAACTCAAACCTTATCCCGGGAAAATCTTGGTAAACCTCTTCTAAACCCTCTCCAGCTTACTAATATCCTTCCCATAACAGGGCAACCAGAACTGGACACAGAGTTCCAGAAGAGGCCTCACCAATGTCCTGTACAACCCCAACATGACATTCCAACTCCAATACTCAAAGGTCTGAGCAGTGAAGGCAAGCATGCTAAACATCTTCTTAACCACCCTGTCTACATGTGATGCAAACTTCAAAGAACTACGTACCTGAACTCCTCAGTCTCTCTGTTCTACAACACAACCCAAAGCCCCACTTATAACTGTATAAGTCTTGCCCTTGTTTGTTTTACCAAAATTTATCCAAATTAAACTTCATTTGCCACCCATCAACCTGTTGACCCAATTGATCAAGGTCTCTTTGTAATCTTAGATAACCTCTTCACTCTCCACTATACCACCAATTTTGGTGTCATCTGTAAACTTACTAACCTTCAATATTCTTACTAACTTTCTGTTTTCTCATCTAAATCATTTATATAAATGACAAACAAAAGTGGATACAGCACTGATCCCTGTGGAACACCACTGGTATCAGGCCTCCAGTCATAGATGACAGAATCCCTACAGTGTGGAAGCAGGCCATTCAGTCCATCGGGTCCACACCGACCCTCCAAAGAGCATCCCACCCAATCCCTGTTACTCTGTATTTCCCATAGCTAATCCACCTATAGACTGCATGTCCCCGAACACTATGGGCAATTTTGCACAGTCAATCCACCAATCTGCCATCTTTAGACTGTGGGAGGAAACCAGAGCACCCAGAGGAAACCCACTCAGACACGGGGAGAATGTGCAAACTCCACACAGACAGTTGCCTGAGGCAGGAATCGAACATAGGTCCCTGGTGCTGTGAGTTGGCAGTGCTAACCACTGAGCCTTTGGGCCACCGCAGTCTGAAAACACTCCTCCATCACTCTCTGTCTCCTGCCATTAAGCCAGTTTTGTTTCCAATTGGTAAACTCATCCTGAATCCCATGTGATCTAACTTTACTAATTAGTCTATCATGGAGAACCTTGTCAAAGGCTTTACTGAAGTCCGAGTAAACAATGTCTAGCACTCTGCCCTCATCAATTTTATTGGTTCTTCCTCAAGAAACTCAATCAAGTTTGTGAAACGTGAGTTCCCTCTCACAAAACCATGCTGACTATCCCTGATCATTCCTTGCCTCTCCATATGCATATAAATTCTATCCTTCAGAATCACCTCCAGTAACTCAACTACCACCAAAGTCAAACTCATGGGTCTGTAGTTCCCTGGCTTTTCCTTACATCCCTTCTTAAACAAAGGCACAGTATTAGCAACTCTCCAGTCATCCGGTACCTCATCTGTAATTATAGATGGTACAAATATTTCTGCAAGGGCCCTGCAATTTCATCCCTAATTTCCCACAACGTCTTGGGATATGCTAGATCAGGTCCTAGAGATTTATCCACTTTTATATTTTCTAAGACCTCCAGCACCACCTCTTCTGTAATGTGAAATGTTTTCAAAGCATTCATATTTATTTCCCTGAGTTCTCTAGCCTCCATTTCTTTCTCCACAGTAAAAACTGACACGAAATATTCATTTATTATTCTTCCCATTTCCTGAGGCTCAACACAACGATTACCTCTTTGATCTTTCGGCGGCCTTACTCTCTCTCTAGTTTCTCTCTTGCTCTTAATATACTTGTAGAATCCTTAACCTTATATGCCAAGGCTGTGTTATATGCCCTCTTTAGAATGCCTCTACACTCCTTCTGTTGTTCAAAAGGTTCATTTAAACCCAGTTATCTGTTTCTAATATATGACTCTTTATTCTTGACTAGAGCCTCAATATCTTTATTCATCCATTGTTCTCTAATTCTACCAGCCTTACCTTTCACTCTAACAGGAACATAATGACTCTGAACTCTCGTTATCAGACATCCCTTTACCTGCGAACTGACTACTCCAATCAACATTTCAAAGGTCTTGTCTCATACCATTAAATTTGCCTTACTCCAATTAAAAATTTTAACTTTTATGGAAGGTGTATCCTTTTCC